CACCTTGCTGACATCCACAATATGCACAATTTCTTTAGCACCACGAAAGTGACATCTACGGACTGAGCACTCAGGGACCAACCCCCTTGAGACCTAAGAATGGAGAAGACCTGATTAAGAAAAGGGGAGCCATCAATCCCCATTAGAAGGAGCATTTTGAAGACCTTCTCAACCAAAACTGTGCTGTTGATGAGAGTGTTCTCCTGCAACACCCAGTCAGAAATGATCTCAGAATCCCTCCAATCCTTGGCACAGTGAGGAAAGCTGTCAAGCAGATGAAGAACAAGGCATCTGGGGTGGATGGAATCCCCCTGGAAATCTTTAAGCGGGGAGAGAGAAGCTCATATCACAGCTTCATGCTCTCAGTTTAAGGATATGGAACAATGAGGAAATCCCAGACAACCTCAGGTCAGCAATGATTGCAACAGTCTTCATGAAAAGAGACAAGTCTGACTGTGGAACCCAGAAGAATTGCCTTGCTGTCTACCACAGGAAAGATCATTGCAAGAATCCTCCTGAACTGTCTCTTTCCACTTGCTGAAAAGCTCCTCCCACAATCTCAGTGTGGATTTGGGGCCTCAGGAGGCACAACTGACATCATCTTCACAGCTCATCAGCTGCAGGAGAAATGCTGGGAACAACATAAGGCCTCCCTATATGGCCTTTTTTGACCTCACAAAAGCTTTTGACTCTGTCAGCCAAGAAGTGGTGTGGAGGATTCCTTTGAAGTATGGATGCCCACTGAAATTTGCCACTATCCTTCACTTGCTCCATGATGGTATGCCAGTAGTGGTTCTCAGTAATGGATCTGTCTCACATCCCTTGGAGGTTGAAATGGGAGTTGAGCAAGGTTGCATCATTGCTTCAACATGCTTCTCAATATCCCTTTCCATGGTTCCACATCTGACCACCAACAAGCTTCCACCCAGAGTGAGGCTAAACTACTGAAGGGATGGTAAGCTATTTAACCTCAGCTGACTCCGAGCCAAAAGCTAGACCACCCCAACCTCAATCATTGAGATCCTGATGATGCTATAGTGTGTGCTCACTCGGAAGCAGACTTTTAGGCAATCATCAATGTCTTTACTAAGGTGTCATGATATGGCCACCCCAGGGATGGCCATGATGTCCCTAGGGCACCATGATCTCATCTGTCACATCTTGCTGGTATAAATAATGAATCAGGAGGCTGCCCACGAGTTCCTGCTCAATCCCAGTCCTGACAGACTCCTCTAAACCCTGTTGGTTGTTGAACCCCTTACTGGGTCCCACAATCTATAGGTGACTTACGATACCTTCCAAGCCTTATGGGCTAGATGCATGGCTCCAAAACCTTCCCTTTACCACGCCCCATGCCTCGCAGGTGGTAATTAAATATTGTCCCTTTTTATGAGGCCTCCATCTAGCTCGGCCTCCTGTTGTACTAGGCCCTGGGCCCTTGTCACTGTGCCCTCTGGTGCTGAGGTCTCTACACCCCCTGTAGCAGCGCCCTCTCCAGCACTGGGGTCTCTATCCCCCCCTGTAGCTGTGCCCTCTAGTGCTGGGCTCCCTGCAGCCCCGTCTATGTGCCCTCGCTTGTACTGGGCTCTGTACAAGCCCTGTCTCTGCGCCCCACTGGCGCTGGGCTCTATGCAGCCCCTGTCTCTGAGCCCCACTGGCACTGGGGCTCGACATAGTAGTGTACCCCAATGAGACCTCCTCCTCCCCAATAGCCTCTGCCCAGTCCACTGGCTTAAATAACAACAACAAAAAAACAAGCCACTGGGCTACAATACAACAATAACCCTGGGGTCCACACTTTATCCCTTTTTAGAAGGCAAGCTTCTCTCTCAGTATAATGTGCCTCCCACCTGCAAGTACTTATGAGCTCTTATAGCCCCTTAACCCTACCAGCATCAGAACAGGCAGTCAAGCATCTCCAAGTAGCTTTCTCTATGACAGCTCCTTCCCCCTCCCTTGGCTGCTGCCAGACAACTAACCCTTTAGTCCCAGCCCTGGGGCTTATATGTGCCCAGGGCCCTGCCTTCTTCCGGTCAGATAACTAGGTGCAGATGCAGGCTAATTCCCTCATTTGCCTGCTACCACAGCAACCTGCATCTGTGGGGGTTCTACCTGGCTCCTAGGGCCCTCTCTCTCTAGGCAGTTTGTGCCCTTAAAAGAGCAGGCACACCTTAGTGCCCTGCGACACAAGGCATACAAGACAATGGGGCTTTACATTCAGCAGAGTAAGGTCATCCATCAACAAGCTCCTAATGAACCATCCCCAGCTCTGGTAATCCAGATCCACAGTGAGACTCTGGAGAATGTTATTTCAGGTACATTGGTAGCTATCTCTTGCAGAAGGCTAATATTGATGAAGAAATCCAGCATCGCTTCAAATGTGCAAGTGAGGCCTTTTGACACCTGAAGAAACAGGTGTTCAAAGATTGGGACATCAGATCCAAAACCAAGGTCATGGTTTATCAAGCAGTCATAATTCCTGCCTTGCTGTATGGAGCTGAGAGACAGACGACACACAAGAGACATATAAAGTTGTTGGAAAAGTACCATCAATGCTGCCTGCAGAAGATCCTCCAAATCCAGTGGGAAGACAGATGAATCAACATTAGTGTCCTCCTGCAAGCAAACACCATGAGTATTGAGGCAATGATCATCTGACATCAACTTGGTTGGGCTGGCCATGTCATCCAGATATCTGACTCCAGACTCCCAAAACAAGGTGTATGCTCAAGAGAAGGGCAGAGAAAGTGCTTCAGGGACATCCTCAAGACCTACTTTAAAAAGTTCAAGATCCATGCCAACTCATGTGAGACTGTTGCCCAGGACCACCCCAAATGGAGGAAGAGTCTGCTGCAGGGATCTCAGTATTTTGAAACCTCACGACAATAACAGAAGCTGGAAAAACGGAAGCAGCAGAAACAACATGTTGTGGACCAAATCAAAACTCCAGACCCACCCACCCCACACAGAAACACATGTCTGAGCTGCAATAGAGTCTGTCAATCCCGGATAGGCATCATCAGCCATCTTCAGACACACAGATAAGACAATAATAGAAGACAATCATCCTTGACTGTGAGGGACTGCTAAAGAAGATATGTTGAAGTGGGTATAAACTGGCATTTCTCACATGTGGTGCTACACTGGTCCACACCAAATCTCACTTGGTTCCTCAGTGGGACAATAACGATTGCTACCCTCATAGAATCTGATTCTTCGTATTTTGTCCAGCGACACAGTGAACACAAAAGTCAGTTTATGTTTATTTGGGCCCCTCTAGGCATTCAGGTAAAGGTGTGATAGGTAGGAACTGATGCGTGATCCACATGTGTATGGCAGGAGGCGTGAATCCAGCATCAGATCCTATCAAACCTTACTGCCAGTACAGAGGAGCCCAGGATTGCCATCCTGGGCTCCCCCTGCAGCAGCAAGTAGCAAGCTTCCGCAACTGTGAGTCCCATAGCTGACAGGACTCTCAGTCATGGCAGCACCCCACAGCTGCCAGGACAGAGAGTCCCGCAGTTGCTGACTCTCAATTTCAGAAGCCACAGGGCACTGCTGGAATGGAGAGTCCACAGCTGCAGGATTCCTAGTCCTGGTTGTGCATGGTGCATCTCTAAAACTGAGAGCCCCAGCAGCTGATTGGGCTCCCAGCCACAAGGGGAGATCACAGCTGGATAGAAACTAGGTATAAAGTTATTGCACATTTTCTCACTTTAAATTTATAAGTGGATGAACCTTTTTATGGTGTGATAGTTATTCTGCATGTGTAGCTGTTCTATATTAATTGTGCAATTAACCAGTTAAGTGTGTAATACATTTAATGTGTAGAGGGGGCCTTTGTTTTGAGGTTATCCCTAAAGTGATGGACATAGCTAACCTTGCTGTTTATTTTAGCTGTTGTCTTTTTCTGGATAAACATTTATTTTTCAAGCTAAAAACTAAGGTTTTTATGTGCATTACATTTTGAGTCAGTGGAAATGCTCATCAAGAACTTCAGTGACAAAGAAAATGAAATTGTAAATCTCTGCTTTTTTGCACAAAGCGGATAATGTTTGTGTTTGCATTCCCTTTTAGCCTTCTCAGCAAATACAGGACAATGCTTTTATTTTCATGAGTAAAAGTCTGATTACATGCTATTATTAACTAAAGAATAACTTATACAATGTAGGCCTTTTTCTGTCCCTTTTCATTTGAAAAATAAGTGACAGGAGCACTCATGAAAGGTGTCTGAAAGCAGAGAGGACTGACAAATAAGTGCCTTAATTTACCCTTAGAATAGATAGAGCACCAGCACAGACAGTGAACATGCTACATTATACCTGTGCAACATTACCATCTGAAGGAATCACTTGTAAGAGTGAAAGTTTTCATGACCACTCACTTGTAAGGGTGAAAGTTTTCATGACCACTCATTTTTTTATCTCCCTGTTCAGCACCCCAACAACAGAAGTATGAAAGACAACATGGGCTTTTACTTAATCCACTAAAAATTGAACTGAGACCAAGTATTTTCATGCCAATGGATGAATATCAGAACTCTCAGCCACCCAATCTGGGTAAACAGCAGTCTAAATCTGAGAAGTGGCATTGTTTAAGGTAGGGATCTTCTTTGGCAAAATACTAATAAGTAATGATTTCGATCTTCACAATTTTAAGGATCAGAACTGGTCTGAATGAAGTCAGACAGGAATATAGAGTCTCCACCTCACATGCAGCCTCCCCATTTCTCAATTCTTGGAAAGCAGCAACTGCATGTACGCCTAATGCTCACACACCCATGCAGATAGATAGTGATAAAACCTGCTCCTTCAAAGGGTTCACTAGCAGAGCTAAACCAGCATAAGTAGGGATGTAACTCATATCCACTATTCAGGCCATCAAGCCGGTCTAGTCCTAAATATTTTAAGCTGGGTGCTTTGTTCACTATTTATTTATCCAGATACTTTTGACAGGCTGCTCTGGGAAGGTGAACTTTCAAAGTTCTCAGTGTGCAGTACCTGGCAATCCCATGTCTCCAGTTGATCCTTTTTGTCCTGGATGTCCTGGGTCACCTGGAAACCCTGGAAGGCCTGGATCACCTTTTGGCCCTGGAAACAGTGTGAAACAGCACAAGGTCCATTAGTTCACATAGATTCAAGTACTCTGTGCTAGGTCCATATACTAAAAAATTCAGACATACCTGGCTGTCCAGGGGTACCAGGTAAACCATCCTTCCCTGGCATGCCTGGGTCACCATAGTCCCCTCGTATACCTTTTTCTCCTGCTCGTCCATGTGTACCTGAATACCATAAAAATGTGATTTTAAATTATTTGGCCACTTTTAGTGACTTACCTATTTCAACAGCTACTTGTCTATCAGTATAATCAACTTTGTAGCCAGTATGCACAGTTATAGCTTTTGAAGTTCATCTATGCAAAAAACCTGGCAAGTTATAACTTTGAAAAGAACATGAAAAGAAACTTGTGACTTAAAATGGAGATACGGATTTGAGACATCTAGAAGTGAGCTAGTAGCCTCTTATTAACTAAGTTAAGAAACCAGTGATGTACGACAAGAAAGTTTCAGATTGTAACATGAATGACTGAAATGTCTGAGAGGACCACTAGACTGAACAGCCAACCACAGAATGCTTTGTATCACCTGTAATGTGAAATCTGCTGCTACCCTGATTTACCTAACTTCAGAATAGTGGTGCTCAACCTTTTTGGCCAGTGGGCCAGACAGGCAATGCCTAGGCTGCCTGTGGGCCAGATCCAGTTGAAGATCCCAATCTGGCATGGGGTGGTCACAGCAGGGTCCAATCCAGTCACATGGAGGAGGGCAGGGGGCATCCTAGCTCCAACCCATCGGGGTGAGGAGGTGTGGTATAGCCCTGTGGGGAAAAGGGGGCAATGCCCAGGCCCAACCCAGCCCCATGGAGGGAAGAGGGCTTGATCTGGCCCTGAAGGTGGGGGGAAAGGGGAATGGCCCAGCCTCATCCAGCTGAGGGGGTGGGGGCAGAGGGCATGACTTGGCCCTAAACTTCTGTGCAGCACTTGGGCTTTAGGAATTTGTCAGTGGGGGATGGTGGCCATATTTAATGCCACCATTCCCCTGCCACCAAATTTCCCAATTTGTGGGGAACCCTGCGGGCTGGAAACCTATGGCTCTGCTGGATGCATCTGGCCCTCAGACCGAAGGTTGAGCACCCCTGTTTTAGAATATCTCCTAGGTGCCACTTAACAGTGCTGTCCACCTGTTGCACACTGCAGTAGAGATATAATATTTAAGCTTCCAAGTCATACCCATTATCTTTTAAGCCATTTCGTTCCTCAAGATACAAAACATGCAGTCCCAAAGGAAAGAAGAAAGCATCCATGGAAAGACCCAGAGAAGGAAATCATTTTGAAGTATATTTTTTTTTCTTTGCATTTGGTTCACCTTTTAATGAAGGATCTTGGATCTGAGCTGTTATTGTTACTGATTGAAATTTTTCACATCAAGAAAATGTGTTTGAAAAACAATGCTTGGAAACAAAACTATTAATTAAAATGTTTTGACATTTTATTTTCCCAAAATGTTGCATTTACTTATTCAAAATATCAACTAAAGTTCAAGGAAGTTAGCCAGCTGGTTAGTCTACTGACTCAGGGGCAGGCAAAATACAGTCCAAGGGCCAGATCCAGCCTGCCAGGCCATTCTATCTGGCCTGCGGAGCCCCTAAAATTTTTAGAATATTAATTTTTATCTGCACCTGACTTCCTGTCAAAGATGACAGGCACCAGGGGCAGCAAGACCCAGGGGAAACTTGCAGCAGGACCCAGTAGCTGAGCAGCAAGGCCTGCCCAGCTCCACTCCGCTCCAGCTCCCCACAATAACCACACCCCACAACAGAACCACCATCATTCCTGAATCTTATATTTGCACCTCCAGAAAGGCAATATATCTCATCCAGTGCACCAAATGCCCTGAAGGAGAATATGTAGGAGAAACCAAACAATGACCGCCTACCAGAATGAATGCACATGGAAAATCCATTAAAGACAAAAATATCTGATTACCTGTGGGTGCCCAGTTCTCACAAAACAATCACTCCCTCTCTGACTTCTCAGTTCTATTCCTCAAAGTGAACTTACTAAACACCTTTCACAGACAAGCCTACAAACTTCACTTTGTAAGTCTACTGGATACAAAAAATCATGGACTCAGTATAGACATTGGATTATGACACACTGCAACCTGCTTGAGTTCACCAGGTACCTGCCTGAACTTACTATTTGCACTCTCCCAGACCCTCCTTCACTACCCATTGTCTTCCTAATTTCCAACCATTTACTTTTTCACAGAATGACTCTTTTCTACCTTAGAGAACTCATCACTACAGCAGGGTCTCCCTTGCTTACCTTTTGCATTCCTTCACCCATTATTTCCCCTTCATTCTCCCCCCCTTCCTCTACCCATTGTTTTCCTAACTTCTACCAATTTACATTCTCACTGACCTCCTGTCACACTTTTAGCTTCTTTCATTCCTTGATCTCAGAACAACAGCTGAGACTCCCTATGCCTGAAGAAGGGTGCTTGTGCCCGAAAGCTTGCAAAGACCTTTTTTCAACAACTCAGTTGGTCTAATAAATGATATCACATCTACCCAAAGAACCTTGCCTTTCTATAACAAAGAGGACAGATGCTAATCATCAGTCTTGCAACAGATTAAAAATCAGTGACTATGTATATTTGAAGATTAAAGGTTACCTTTCTCTCCTGGGTCTCCTTTCTGGCCTTTAAGACTTGCCATATCTGTTTTATTCATGGATCCTGGCTCTCCTCTCAGTCCTCTTTCACCTTTATCTCCCTTAAAGCCAATTTCACCTGGTGGCCCTTGCGAACCTGGAAAACCTCGATTACCTATGGACAGAAAAGACAGTGTAGAACATCACAGTAGCATACACTGTTTATATAGACACCTCTCTCTCTCAATAACAAACCTAAATGATTACCAATTCAAACTATGAGTTCACACACAGATTCACAGAAGTTTAGGGCTGGAAAGGACCTCATGAGAGCATCAGGTCCAGCCCTCTCTGCTCTGGGCAAGAAAGACTGCTGGGGTCAGTACATCAATACCAGGGGGTCCAAGTTACCTTCATGGGCATCAGATAAAGTAGTTTCTACCTGCTTTATGCCCATGGAAGAACGCTTTCTGTCAAGTACAAGATCCTTTATGATCAGAGCTTCACCACAACCCTGCCAGAGGATGGTGCCTCAAAGAATACTGAAAAGAATATTATATGTCAGGTGGTCTGGCTCTCTTTTCATCTTTGCCTACCTGGTCCAGACTCACCTAGCACAATAGAAAGGGAGCAGGGGAATGTGGCAAGGTGGAAAGAGGCTTTTGATAGTCATTCCTTTTTATGCCCTCTGCCAGAGTGGACCAAGTTTTTCACATGAGGTAACCACAAATGGGAAAGTACTACAGGACACAGAATTTCTTAAAAAATCATCCCAGAGAACTTCCCTATAGAATTCTATAGCATCATAAAAAAAATCCACAGGAAAGATTTACTTTTTAAAAAATTCTATATATTTTGGGATAACCGGGTATGTCTAAATGTGCATATTAATGTGCTCAAATAAACTCCAGAGCTTATCACTTCAGACTTTATTGCTCCGGGCATGTGTCTGCACATTTGGGGTTTTGGGTTGGGTTTTTTTGGCAGGGGGGAAGTGCAGGGAGGGGCAGTGGTTCTAATTATTATACCATATTCCTAAACAAAAAAATGGATTCAACCTTGTGCCAAAGGACCACCATTTGACATTCAGCTTCTGATTCTACCATGTTAGTCTCCTAAAACATGCATAGTCACAGTGGGATTTTTTCCCTTATTTTAGATTCACACCCCAACCTAAGATAATTTATTTCAAAGAAGTCCCAATATATCTTTGTTTGTTAGGAGTTCTTACCTTTTTCACCAGGCAATCCTTGACTTCCAGGGGTCCCAGGAAAACCTGGTGTTCCAGGAGTTCCCATAACTCCCATTTCTCCTTTGGTGCCTAAAAGCCAAAGTGAAATAACAAAGGATAGAAGCACGGCTCATCAGAATAAAAGAATTAAGAGGAATGGAATACCTACTCCCTTGATACATTAGGACCTAAACTGTTTGAAGAGAAATGGAAAAAGAGAATGAACAGATTAAAAAATAGACATAATTTATTAAAATAATTTTATATATAATATAATGTAATAATTTAAAGCCTTTAATGTCTCAGATCTGTTGTACTATTTTACCTAGTGTATTTGTTAGAATATATTTTTCTAATTATATTGAAAAGTCATCTGTAACTGTACTCCTCTTTAATAAAAAGTTAATATATAATAGGTCTAAAAACATGGTACCTATGTCTCAGAATATAAAACCTCATCATCTAAGCATAAGCTAACCATAGGTATGTAATAAGGATGTTTTATGATGTAATCTGGTCATGAATTATGGGTGGACTTTTTATATTATTAGCATTTTCATAATTTACTTTTTAACATCCCATTGATGTTCCTCAATAAATTAACAGAGAGCTCTGGACTTCTTGTCAGAATGCATTTGCCTATTGATAAGAATTGATAGATACATGGTGAATACATAAGAATGCCAGATACATGGAGAATTCATTGAAAAAAATAGTTTAGTGAGGCAGATAAATTAGATCTGGGACCAAACTAATAGAAAAAGGAAGTGTAAAAACATACAAAGTAATATTGTGAAAATTAGGCACTCAAGATCAATCTTGTAATCAAGTTTTTGACAGTTCCAGAGTACTTCCAAGCTACAGACCGAGGGTCACATTCTGCTCTCAGCTGCAGCAACAATACTATTGCTCCAAATTTACACAAGTGTTACTAAGAAATCAAACCCTGCCCTTAAAAACTTCGGGATGAATCTCACAAAACACTCCTAAATTAAACCCCCATCAAACGTTACACTCCACATGCAATTAACTAGTTAATCACATCTTAAAGTGTAAATTGTCCACACATTCAGGCAATTAATGGAATGACAAAGCAACACCAGCCACAAAAATATTACATTGAAATATGTAATAATTTCGTAGCTGGTTTCAATAACATTTTTACACAAATGTGTGGCCAGATGGACTGCACTGGGGTGTGAATGATCGGCAGCAGCATGTGGATCACGCTGGGCCTTGAATGGTACAATCCCTGCTGGTCCCCATTTGAGCCCTAGTGAGGCCCCCATGCTGCCCCTGATCAGGATTCAGATCCAGGGGCTCTAAATGGCCTGATGAGTCTCCAGAGCCAGACAAATATCAGCTGATTATTGGGCACATTTGCCAGTGTAGAGGGAGCCCGGGATCATGATCCCAGGTTCCCCCTGTACTAGCAAGTAGGGCACAATTGGGGTGTAATCCCTAATCCCAAAACCATCCAACCTGTCATGCACGTGTAGCATGGTAGGACACATGACTTTTGGAATAGCAGATCAGATGCCACCACGCCTTTCACTGAACCATTAGTCTGCAGCCTTATATACAGTGAAATAAAATATAGAGAAAAGGCAAGGTCCTAGTTAGAGACAGAGGGCTTAATGCATCAGACAGTTTGATTCTGATCCCTTTTATACGCTTAAGTATGTAATTAATGCTAAGCAAGTGGTGAAGCGCTTTGTGGGATCAGAGCCTTCACATTCAGCTCATAGTATATGCTGCCAGGCACACAAACAAATGGACAAAATGTTGCTGTTTTTCCACTCTTTTAGGCTGCTTTTTGGTAGCATCATTATTTAATTTATTGTGACCATTAAAAACCATCAATAAACAAGGCAAAAATGTGTACCTTGAGGACCTGGAGATCCGTCTTTCCCTTGTGGACCGGGGAGACCAGGCAAACCTACCATACCAGGTACACCAGGTTGACCATGGATACCCTTATCTCCTTTGGGTCCTGGCATATCTAGTCCTGGAACACCTGGGAAACCCTTATCTCCCTTTAGCCCAGGAAGTCCTAAAGAACAAAACAATAACAAATTAACAATTCTTCCACATGGAACATGATTAATCAACATATAAAATACAGTATTGAAGTGTTCTGTAAGTTATGTCTTGCAGATACAAAGCAGATTTCTCTATTACTAAAGTAACACAACATAGAAAAAAATCCTCATTTGAAACATAAGAAACAAGACTAGAAGGGGTCTCCTGGGCCACTGATCCATAAAATAGGTTCCCCATTCTGCTAACTGTATTCTAGCTTAAATTAATTTTTGTGAACAATGGATGTGTTTACATAAATGCAAGTAGCAAATTTAAGTGGGTTTAGTTAATGTGCAGCAATGCACATGTAGACATGACCCAAGAGCAAGTTTGCTCCTTGGGTCTGCTCAACCACTAGAGGGTAAGCCCGAGGCCAGCCCCAGGGCTGCAGGCTAGGAGTCTCTCCAGCTGGGGCACATACCAAAGGCTGGGCTGGGGCACATACCACAGGCAGTCTGAGGACACTGCAGGCCCTGTGTGTCCCCCTGGGCAGGCCACAGCTGAGCTGTGCTCGCCTGCCTGCAATCCTGTGCAGCTGCCAGGGTGCTGAAAGTTGCTGCAGGATGCTGCAGCCTCTGGCCAGGCCTGTCAGTCCCCCAGGGCTTCCTGCAGGCAGCTTCCGGGAAGCAGGGCTAGCACCACCTGCCTGCAGCATGCCCCCAGCAGCCTGCCCTGCACTTGCAAGTGATGTGGGGCATAGCCTCTGTCATGCAACTGCCGGCAGCTGCCAGGGCTCCCCTGCAGGACTGCAGGAAAATCTGCTCCCTAATCCCCACATGTGTAGATGGCTGCTCAAAAACCCTTAGTCTGGCTTAGTTTACACCAGGGCAAATCTAGGCCAGAGTAAATGCATGTGTAGATATGCCCACTGATGACTGGAACTGTATGTAGTATTGTAAACAGAGCTCACTAATGCCTTAGACAGACTAAAATACCCCACCTTAAAGCATTTACATTAGTCTTTTACATGGCCATGATACACTGACAGCTCTTGGACATGCTACAGTCTAGTAGTAAAACAAAGGCCCTCCCTTCCTCTGTTGCCTCCAACCCGTGAAATTGTATCCTATAGTGAAGGTTCTTGGTATTAGTTCAAAAGTGCATGACTTTGTAGACTAATACTGATTTGCTGTATCCAGACCATTTAAATTGCTGTAGTCCACAAGGTAATCTAATACAATAATCTGATTATCCTTTAGACTGACAACTCCGCCCCCCTCCTCCCTCTTTCATGTCTATATTTCATAAATACTATCTAAATCTTGCATTTTAAAAAGTATGGGAAGCATTATAAAAACAACACCATGGTTCCCTACTACATTAATACTATATAAGCCATAAATTTAATTTTCAGATATATATGCAAAAATGTTGTGTATCACCTGGTGGTCCTTGGGGTCCTGGATGTCCTGCTGGTCCAGGGGGGCCTTGAGGGCCTATTCCTGGTTTACCTGGTGGACCTGGAATACCTTGTATTCCAGGCAGACCTGGCTCACCTATGTGGAAATATAAAGCATAAATCAACTATTTTGCAATGCTATTTTTAAATCCCCCTAGCTGCAATTGGTAGACATGTGCACTGGGTGCCCTATGTAAGCATAGGGTCAGCAACAACAAAAAGCAGAGGCATTGCTCCAGTCCCAGGTTCCCAGCGGTTCCCAGGGCTCCCCTCCTGGAGGGTCCAAATGGGAAGGGAAAAGAGGAAGGGCTGTGCACCTGATCCTGTCCCAACAATGGGTGAGCAGGGAAGAGCCAGACAGAAGGAAAATGGGCTTTTTCATGAGGATTTAATGAGCATGCCTCATTGCACAGGAGTGAATTGCAACCATTAAGACTTATTATAAGAAGCAGAAAAGAAATGTTGCTATAATTTAGCTAGAACTTTTTTTTAAGCTACCTTGCTGTCCTGTCTGGCCATGTACACCTGGAAACCCTTGTTCTCCTCGTAAGCCAGGCAGTCCTGCATCTCCCTTGGGTCCAGGGAAACCAGCTGGGCCCTGTGGGCCTGGTAGCCCCTTGAGACCTGGGAGACCCAATCCAGGTTCACCCTTGCCAGACAAAAAACAACAGGTTCAGCTGGTGTTTGAAAATCAGGTATTTATAAATGTATAGTTAGAAAGTATAATAAATAGCTGAGGCAGAATAATAAGATTAGAATATTAAGGCAGACCTTGATTAATATATGCTGTTTTTATTATATCAGTTTGTAAGTAACATACTGGAGGTTTTTCCATGTCAACTATACCTCACATTAATTCCTTCGTGTGCATGTGGTAATGCATCAAATATTGATGACCTGGACACTTGACATTCTAGTTTAATATCCTTTTCTTCAAAAGGAAGCCATAGCTCTGTACAGATTCATGACAACAAAGAGTTGTTTAAAAGAACACCACAAATTACCAACACTTACTTTTTGACCCTGAAAACCTGGTATACCTGGTAAACCATCCAAGCCAGCACGACCTGGGGCCCCTGGATGACCAGGTGGGCCAGGCTGACCTGGGAAACCTACAGGAAAAAAAACACAGTATGTTGGACACAATAAGTATCTCATTAAGTTTATGCAGAACTTCTCCTGTTCTTTAAATGACTCCTCACAACCATATAAAGGGGTATTAAACAAAGTCTTTACAGTCTTGTTAATGCCATTTTTTCAAGGAGATGATCCTCTTCTACAAAGTGCTTTAAACCCCAAAGTCTCAGTGACTTTATTACGATTTTGGAAGCATGAGGTTATTCCTCACTTTCCTTTATAGCTAGATCAGCCTGGATGACAAGCTATCCCTGAATGAGTTGGAATCCTGTTCTGTGGTTTATCTTCCTTACACTCTGTGAAAACACCTGAATATGATTGGTTAGCTCCTGCTTCAAAAGAGATGTACATCTAGGCAGTGTTCTTTACACAGTGTAGTCTCCTTACCTTTGGGACCAGGAGGCCCAGGGAATCCTATTCCTGGCTGTCCAAGAGCACCTTTTTCACCTGGAAGCCCAGATCTTCCTGGGATCCCAGGATTCCCTTTATCACCTTTTCAGGTAGAAACACAGACAAAGTGCATTAAGTACTTATTCAAAGCTCACCCTTGGGGTAAAACATCCATTAGGCTCAGCAGTGAGAAAATTAAAGAGTGCACCATACCTTGGGATCCAGGGAATCCAGGTGGTCCTGGGAGACCAGCTGAGCCTGGCAGGCCAGGCATAGGAATGGCTTTTCCTGCTTCACCCTTTGCCCCTACAAAAGTAAAGGGGATAAGTCAATATTTGCACATAAAAAGAAGGCTAAAGTATTTGCAAATGGGAGGCTGTGAATTTTTCCTCAAGGGTTAGAGATGGCCACCATTTTATATTTTCCAGTAATTACTCTTCATCTCCAGTGCACTCATCGGCCTTATGAAAATGTCCGAGTACACATGACATGCCTGAATTGTGATGGCTGCTGCACGTCATTCCCAGTGCCTCACACCTGTACGTGTACCAGGTGAATCCAGCAAGCTCCACTGACAGGTGTTCCAGTCTCAAAGGTTTAGATTGTAACTTAAAGTGGAATTCAAGAGGAAGGGAGTTGGGGGAGCATCTGTAAGGCTTCCTCTTTTAACACTGTATTTGCTTCAGATGTTGAATCTTGTCACATAAGCGGGTGGGAAATGGATGGAGTCCCAGATGGAAAGATTTATATGCTCCATCCAGTGCATTTTAAAGACAGATGCTGATTCCCTTACACATTCTGGGGTGAACCACTGATTTCAAGAAAAGATGGCAACAGATGGATCTGAACAGGGGAATTCAAAGACACAATGCTGGTCAACATGATGTGCAGTACTCTCAGTACAACTGCATAACTGCTGCCTGGTGTTTTGTAGGGATTGTGATAATTAGAGTTTTTAGGATGTAACTGAAAGGGCACAATGAAGTGACTCTGCAGATGTTTACAGGGAAATCCTGTGAATTGTGTTAACCCAAGTGACTATGGACCTCTGTGTTTTGTTCTGGGAGATTCTTAACACAGCAAAATATACTGTAGGGAACAAGCCATGGAACAAGCCATGGTGGTCTGTGCTAACTCTGCTCCCAATTATACACCTTTAACTAATTCAGGTAATAAGAATATACCACCATTTCCCCTAGCAGACTGTGTTACCTGGAAGGCCTGGTAAACCTGGGTTCCCTGGAAAGCCCTGTTCCCCTTTGTCACCAGGTGGCCCAGCAGGTCCAGTCCCTGGAGGTCCAGGAAGGCCTTTGTCACCACGTATTCCTGGAAATCCACCTGGACCAGGGGAACCACGTTCTCCTTTCAAGCCAATTGTACCCTAATTTTAAGGAAAGAGCAATAGTGTAATTACAGTACCTCTCACAATAATAATGCTAAATAGGTATTCTCAAAGTCCATTCACCACTTGGAACAGTTCTTAAATATTCTTAGTAAGGCCTTTACTCAGCTACACTTATTCCTAGGTAGTCCCCAAGAAATGGTACTCCTCCAGACTTAAGGAGTATGGTACACCTCGGAGCGAAGCGAGTAATAGTATGAGAATCTGGGCTGAAGAATAAATATAAAAATTCACAGGATATATAACAGCAAATTAATGAACTATAACATATAAGAACATACATACCGAGGCCCCTTTAGGACCCTGGAGACCTGGTAGGCCATCTCTTCCTGGTCTTCCTTCTCTTCCAGGTAATCCTGGTGATCCCGGGAAACCAGGAGTTCCTTTTTCACCTTTTAGGCTAGTATCAAAGTAAATATCTCCAGGCTCTCCCTTTGCCCCTGGGCTACCAAGCAGTCCTGGTGTACCTGGAGGTCCCTGAAATTATACACAATTTGAGCACTACTAGACACCTATGAATGATTTTCCTATCCCTCCCCAGAAGAAAAAAAAACAAGTAAAGAAAAAACACTGATATCTTTAATCCAGGCACTGAACTGTAAATCACAGGAATGGATTTGCCAAGATAAGCATGTTAATAAGTGATAAAGATCATAATAATATTTTCCTCATTGTTCTTCTAATTAGCTTCACATACTACAGTTTTGTAGTTCTGAATGCTTGTGTGAATAGATGAATACCAACTAGAACTTTTAAAAGAGAATCTGAAGGCCATGTCTATGAATCTATGGAAAAGGTAGTCTTGTCATGCATGAATTGGCCATAAGGATTGAGATTTGACTTTTTATTGTGGCACTGATGTCAAGACAGTTGCATATTTTTAAATACAGTTTTCTTCAACTAACAATGACTATCATTAGTAGTTAAGAATTTTAAATTAAAACTAGGAAAAATAATATTTTCTGAAGAAGAAATTATAAGTGAAGTATGTTTCATGTACATGAATGTAAAGTTTTAAAACTTGTTTGTTACTAGTCTTCCATTTGTTTTTTAATGCATTGAATTTCTACAGGAGAGAGAAAATAAGTCATGTAAAAACTATAACTTTGTTACTCTAATGCAGTAGTTCTCAACATTTCAAGGCACTCCTCACTAGACTTGATACACCCCTTGGAAAATGTCTGCTCTTAGTGTTTACTTTATATTTGACTTCAGATAAATAATACAGCAATTCTCCTGTTGCAACAAACTCAAAGATCACAAGAAGCCAGAATGTTTTTAACACTGTTGATTCCTATTTGAAATCACTAGGTTTATCTTATGAATCATGTTTGCCATGACACCCAGGTTGAAAATCACTGCTCTTGTGTAACAAAAACACTCCATTGTGTCCAGGATTATTTTTAATAAATGTACAAACAATGACTTCTGCACCTTTACCGAGCAAGTTATTTGTATAAGCATACTTATATATTATTATTCCTTATTTGGGGATGATTTAGTGGTGAGATCAAAGGGAAGGGTTAACTTTTTTCTTTCTGCTTAGCAGAAAGGTTAGAATCCATTTCACTGTTTGTTTTGGAGAGGCAAAGGCTCAACATGGCCAATGTTGGCTCCTAATTGGACATTTCATTTTTTAATATTTTTGTTTTTATTTATTTTTAAAGGTTCTTTGCATATATTTGAGCCCTTTGGGTTTTTTGTACAACAGATCCTCAGTTTGTTCTAGAAATGTAAAGCATACTTTGTGTCAGGTGGGAAGGTGGACTGCATGTTCTTGTGTACCCTTTCGGGCTTAATGCCTACTACATGGCTGCCCATTATGGCAAGGCACTGGACTCCATAATCAAGATGGTCCTTGCAGTCCTTTATTTGTAATATGCAGTAAGCTAAAGCAGGGGTGCCAAACTCATTTTCCCCCATGTGCCACAAGAGTGGTGTGGAGCTGGTCTACAGGCCAGGTGAATGATGTGGAATAAGCCCCATAGGCCAGATTGGCCCCACAGATCCCCCTCCCCCACATGCATGCCAGATCCAGTGCATGTCGTGCTCATCCCAGCCAATTTGGGACAAGTGACACCTGCCACAGCTGGCCTGGTGCATACACAGGTCCTGAACTGGCCAGGGCAAGCACTGTGTGCAGCATGGGTCCCAAACCAGCTGGAACAGGCACTGTATGCTGCGCAGGCACTGGATCAGTTGGAGTGGGCACCGCATGTAGCATGTCCCAGAGTAGCCAGAGTAGGCACCGTACACAACATGCATCCCAGACCAGCCCTGCTTGGGCTTGCATGCAACGTGGGTCCCAGACCAGCTGAAATAGGCACCGCATGTGGCAGATGTTCCAAACTGGCTGGGGTGGGCACTGTGTGAAACATGGGTCCCAGATCAGCTGTTATGGGTGCCACAGGCAGTGTGTGTACTGGACCAACTGAGCCGGGCACTGCATGCAGCCCAGGTCCTAGGCCAGCCAGAGTGGGTGCTATGTGTGGCTCATGTCCTGGGCCTTGTGTTTGGTGCTGGTCCAGCATGTGCCATGTGCACTGTATGGGTCAACCCAGAGGCAACACCAGGGCCCAGATGATGGGACTCTGGGGGCTGCATATCTGACACCCTTGAACTAAAGCATTTGTGTGTATGAAGTTTATATACACATATCTTTCTTAAAGAACCTAAGAGCTTGTCTGTTCAACTTCATGTGGTATGCTTGCCAGAAAGGGTGCCCCCCCACCCCCACCCCATCTAACCAGTGGGAATCTTTCCATTGTCTTTAATAGGTGCTGGATCAGGCTCTAACCTCCTGGCATGGCATTTCCAAGTTAAACTAAGAGCTAACTCACTGGATGTTTAATGCACTTAGTCTAATATATCCAAGCAAAACTAATTTAAAAGCACCCAGGACACCAGCAAATGTTTGCTTGAAGAGAGGAGTGAATGGAGCTTATTACAGGAGAAGGGGTAAATGTAAAGATTTTGGCAACATTTGCAGTGAAAGCTTGTACTGTGTTATGCAATAAATGACTAAAAGTAACACAGAAAATATCTCATTACTTTCCGCACAATCTTTTCCATAACTTCACATAAGTGTGGATGAAACTAAATGACCTAATGATGTCATCTCCTTTATGATGAGGAATTTAAATGCAAAGGACCAGATTCTATTCCACCCAGCCCAAGTCCCTGAAAACCAGCAGATGCAGAAGGTGGGCATGTCCTCCTCCTCACGATGCAGCTGTATTGGAAATCAGATCGGTATCGGCCAATTTGCCTCCCCAAAATATCGGTGCTCCCCTAGTAAATAGAATTCCAATTGAACAACATGTACCCAGGTTACTCTAGTAGTTAGGAACCTTCCAACTTCCAGCTTAAATTTATTCATGATTAGTTTAGGTCCATTTGCTCTTCTGCTAATATTTTCCTTAAGTCCTATTCTTTTCCTTTCATGGTGTTTACCCCCCATATGGATTTATAGAGAACAGTCATATCCCTGCTTAGCTTTTGTTGTGCTTTGTTAAACAAGCAAAACTCTTCTAGTCTCTTCTTGTAAGATAGGTTCACCATTCCTTCATTCATCTTAGTTGCCCTATTTGGCATGTGTTCTAGTTTTAGTTCATCATTTTTGAACATGGGTAACCAGCACTGTACACAGTATTCCATATGAGGTCTCACCAGGGACTTGTTACAAGGACACTATCACTCCCTTATCTCTCCTGGAAATGCCACTGCATGGGTATCCTAAGATCACTGTGAAGTGACAAAGTATTTTCCTCCCGTGAAGAAAGGGTTAGAGAGACTGCCGGTTCTTACCTTCTACATAGGCAGCCAATGGAGGAAGGAGAGTTAAAAGTAGGCCTCAGGCAGAGGAGGACAGAAAATGGGACAGAAACCTGCCCTGCTGCAGTGAAATGGAGGGAAAGTGAAGGAGATACTCTGGCCAGTGAAGCAACAAAACACTGCAAGAAGTCACCCAGTATAATCATACATACAAACACATAAGCAGTTGTATCACACTGCTGTCTCACAGTCTTTCTGTGAGCATACCCAGAAACTTCTCAACCTCAGTCATTTCCAGTGAATGAACTAACTTACAGTTGAATATATCTAGACCCCTGTTGCGTTGACACTGCACTTTGTACTACTGAATATCCTTCCATTTCTATTATTCCAGTCCTCAAAACCAGGAAAGGTTTACTTACAGGCACTCCTTGAATACCATCAAGTCCAGGCAAGCCCCTATCCCCTTTGGCACCTGTCTGTCCTGGAAAGCCTTGTGAAGAAAATGAAAAACATGTTTACTAGAGAGCTACTTCTTCTAAAATAGCTGCTCTCTCCACACATGCCAAAACCTGAAATAAGGTCCTGGGACCACTTTTGGGGTAGCCTCCTAACTGATCACAAGAATGCCAGAGACAGAGGTCAAGAGTTGTTAGGGACTGCTCTCAGGATGGCTTCACCACCTTCATTTCCAGGTTTGTTGCCTGCCCAGTAGAAGGAGGTGAATAGAGTAGCTTATCTCAGTCTCAGGAGTATATGGAATGATACAGATATACTTTATATGACCCCTTAATATCAAGGGATGGGCAGCATGACCTGCCTAATAACTGGAACTACTATTTAAACCCTGCAATAAATTGAAAGGTCTCATTGTCATTCTACTTCACCAACTAAAAAACACTTATATGGTGAACATATATGATATTAAAGTGTTGTCTGCCTGATGAACAAGGATCCTGGTTTTCTCTGATTAAAAAATCCCCAATTTTAGGATTAAAAAAGTACGCTAAAATCCACATTTTTCCTGGTTTAAAATGAAACACCACTAATATAGAGAGAGATACATAGTTGTGTTTCATTTTTCTTGAAAAGCACATTGCTTGCCTTTAAAGTTTTTAGATTATTATATTTGTGGGTGTATTTTAAAGGCTGTTTCAAGCACATTGATTATTCCACAGTAAAGTTACATTTATAGGCCCAAATTCACTATTCATATATCAATGAATTTGTTCTGCATGATAAATATAAGAACTTTAGTTTCAAAGCACATTTCTAACTCCAATTTTGACTGTTGTCAAAATGCTACCTGTCAAAAAAAGGGTACATGGGAGGCAAGAATTTATTTTATTAGTAAAACTATGTCATTGAGATAGAGTTAGCCAAGCTTTCAAATGCAAGACGTTTTTCATCAGCTGGGATCCTGGTTTTCTTTGATAAAATAAACCCCCATTTTCAGATTAAGAAAGTAACCCAAAATCCACATTTTTGCATAATTAAAATGAAACATCTCTAATATATATCGATATATTAGGGATGTTTCATTTATATCTATATCTATATCTAGCTATCTAGTGATCTAGATATATAGATATATATATGTATATATAGATATAGATATATGCATATATAAAATGATCTTTTTAGATCACAGCCTTCAAAATACAATGATTAACTCACATTAAAAACCATAGTGTAACCATACAGAGAATGACTAATGAAGAAAACAACCCCCCTAGACAGAATTGGTAATTACTGGAAGAGCCTTTCTGTGTTCATCATCTGTAAAAACAACATTTAAGCAATCTTTTTCAAAAGCATTCAGTGCTGGCCTGCTTCTACTTCTTTTGAAACAAACAGTAAAACTTTTGTCATTCCAGTGTGAGTAGAGTTAGTCTAACAGTGAGAAAATCCCATTCTTTTAATGCCTACAAGATGATTTGATTAATGGAAAATATAAATATATGACATTGTCTGAGCACACCTAATGCAGAGTTTTGTTCCACTTCTGGTGAGTTGTTTGTTTTGCTTTGGGATTTACCTTTGGGTCCAGGTGGCCCTTGTACTCCAGGAAGTATTGCCATATCGCATGTGGTGCAAGTGTCACCTTTATCACCTGAAAACAAACAAAAAAAGAAAGAAAAATAAAAATTAAACAAACTCTAACATAATAAGGGTCTCTTATACTGTGAGGTACGACACTGATAGCAAATTTGTTACATTAGTCAAATGCTTAAATGAGAATGTATTAGAATACTTATTTATAATGCTTTAAATAAAAACTTTTAAAGGTATTAAAAGAAAAACAAATTATTTGAGATAATATCTAATGTTTAGAGTTATGTGAATGGGAGGAAAGACAAAACGTGACTGAAACGGAGGCATAAGAACTAGAGGGATCTATACTGGATTAATAAATTGAAGATGAAAGGGAAAATAGGGAGTCTTAACTCCATTTAAATTTTGCAGTTGTGGACAACAACAATGGAAACAGATCTGAAAGACATAAATGTAACAAATGTAAACAAATGCAAAGCTATTCATTTCAGTAGTATGGGGTCTTAGTATCGCTTTGTTTTTTGCACATTTTTGCCAACACTACTGAAATCCATGCAGCTAGGCCTGGTTATACATGTTAAATTTAGCCATTTCTTTAATTTTAATTGAAATGAAGAAAAAGTCCAAAAAGAAGACATTATGGGATGCTGTGTTATCTTCCTTTTTCAAGGAAGGACAGTAAACATGTTCAGCCTAAGTAGTAACATTTTATACTTAAGAGATAAACAGATTTGGACAGATCAATGGATTTGAGAATGAAAGATTGCTATGACCTGATGACAATTAGTTTTATAGGTAGGGAACCTGAAAGAGAAAACTACAATTGAGAAGAGCATGAAGTTAGAGCAGTGCTTCAGGAAAGATCAAAAATGTTTTAAACTATTCCAGTTACTAGTTACAACCTATAAAACAATCAATGTGGCAAAGAATAAAATTTATTTTAAAATCTCTCTTGAAAAGAAAATCCCTCTTCAAAAAAAGTCCCCTACTAAACCAGACTCAGTATACCCAAATACACTTGAATAAAACCCAAAGCAGCAAACTGGTAAAATAAAGAATAGGTGAGGTGGCAGATACAGACATGAAGTTGGAGGGTTAGTGAATTCAACTTGACTTTACTGTCAGTTCTTGCTTTGTCTTCCTAGCAAAAATATATATACTTCCTAGAGCACTATTAAGGAAATTCCTGTTTGATTTCCCAAGAAAATAGTGTGCCCCCACATGTCTCCTAGCTTTTCAAAAACAAGAATATAAAAAACTCTGAATTTTTCAAAATATTCCACGACCCATCCCTCATTATTAAAAGTGTTATTGTAAGCTTTGTGACTTCAGACCTGATACTGAAGATGCTGAGCTCTCACAGTTTCTGGGAGGGGTACTATCAGGCTTTTCTGTTCAAGCCTCTGGGTTAATTTTAAATTCTGTGTATAATTATACAGTAGTATGCCTAACTTTACTGCAGGCCAAGCAGAATCAGCTTTCAGAACCTGATTTAGCTTATCAGCCTCTTTAACATCTGCTGAGCCAACATCCATTTAAACAGGCAAAATTGAATTCCCTATCTTTTCTCCCAAATCCATCCCCCTCATGACATTCTTTATCACTAGGGCCCCATCTGTCCAAAGTGTGATTAATCAGTTAATCATGCCTCAAGGGGTCACATTCAATCAATTAATGGTGTGATAAAAAGAGGAATAAACTACAAAGTTATTCCACAAAATTGTAGCCGATTCCTATCATGACATTATTTGAACTTTTGGCTAGGGGCCTCTGTGACTAGGAGCCCTGTCAGCTGATTGCAGCTCCCAGCTGGGGGGGGGGCATGTCCACCCCCAAGCCTGGAAACTCCCAGCTGACAGGGCTTCTCATGAACCCCCATGGCTGGGAGGGCACACCCATGGCTGAGAGATTGCATAAGCTGTGGTCTGCCAGCCATGGGGTTGCATGGAGCACCCCCCATGGTAGCGAGCGCCATCAACTGAAGGGGCTTCCAGTTGCGGAAGACTGCTTTTTGCCAATGCAGGGGGAGCCCAGGATTGGACTCCTCTCGCCCTGGCAATAAAGTGTGATGGGATCTAATTTGCAATTCCACAATTATACCTCCCTGCCATGAACGTGTGGCATGACCAGAGGAACGATTGTGTGGATAATGCATTAAGTCCCATTGTGCCTTTATCTGCACATATAGAGGGCCATCTAAGATAGAGTGGAGGCTATCGGAATTACAAACTGAAGTGCACATCAGACACCTGGATTTCAGATTGCATTTCTTCCTCTCACTCAAGTCTCTAACCTGGAATATCTCTTTATCTTCAGTTGGCTAGTCATATGGTTTGAATAAGACCTCAGATGTTCAGCATCCTACAATTTCAAAGTTCTAGTGCAAAGCAGAAAAGAATCAAAACCACTGGATAGACCAAATAGAAGCTACTAGCTCACTTGAAAAGCATTACCTTTTTGTCCTGTCTCTCCTCTGAATCCTGATTGTCCGTCAGGCCCAGGAGGACCAGGATCACCATGCTCTCCGGGTGCACAATCCAAGATTTCATTTCCTAGTGGAATAAAATAATAAAGAGCATTGATTTCCAAGTCCAAATTTCCTGGTAGTGTAGTTCATGTCAACATCATTGCTACCTAGATCATTGTGATCCATAATAAAATACCTTTAAGTAGGCAGTTTTATTTGTCCAGTTCTACTATTGTAGAAAATTCTTGCAGCATTCTTGTACAACTTAAACCAATAGGGTTCTATAGGTATTTTAACCCTATGTAGATGTTACTTTAAAAACCTATGTCATTATGGACAACTCCCAGTCTCTCCATATTAAAGTTGTATACAACTTTCATTTAAAAGCTTGTTTCCATATTCCCATTTTAGAAAATTGGTGTGGAATTAAAACTGATCTTTCAGGCCAATAAGACTGTTTCTGAAAGGTCTGAAGAAAATTCATAAAATAGACTTTAGTTACATATACATTTAATACCCCCCCGCCCATTTCTAATTTTCATTTTTGTCTAAAATTTGTGGGTGCCCTTCTAGATCAAAAGCAGACTGTTAATAACTTTTCAGATTTTCCACATTGATAAATATCCCTGAAAACTCGCATACCAGATGTATATTTTTAAAACTGTTTTAAGATTCAAGGAAGAATAACAAGTGAGAAAGTCCACGCATACCTCAAGTTTGAACACAGAATAATACTTCTCTTGTTAAATTTCATTGTTTTTTAAATTGAATTTTTCTGTTAAGGAATTTTATAGAGAATTATTAATTTCTATATGTTTTTTCAAACTATCCAGAATGCTGCAGTAGGGATGTTATTCTCTAGTTAGTTCTGTAGGCAGAGTAAAAACTCACAACATAGGAATGTTATATTTTTTATTGATATATACAGAACTTTAACATAAGGGAGGCATTAGCCACGTAATTCTTCTCTCCTCCACTATTTAATAAGATTTTTTTCTATTACTTTAACTAATTTGTTAATGAATTAATATGTGATATGTACATTTATCTTCAAGATATAAGCAACCAACTGCTGCCTTTATGTCACTGGTTACAAATTAGATATGATGTAATAAAATGCTCAAGTTAATTTAAGGTGCACAATCTAACAAGGCTGACAATAAAGCAAATTAAACAGAATGATGTTGGTTTGCCTAAAAATGAAATGTAGAACGGAAGCAGTGTTTTTAATCTTTTTACACATTTCCCTCTTCTATTTCTGTATTGTTCTTCAGTTAAAGCAACCATGTCCAACTCAGCTCAGACAATTAAAATTCTGTAATTCAAAGGCATTTCCAAGACTACAGGGAATGCTTCCAGCAAGTGATATAACTTTCATGTTGAACAAATTTGTCTGTAAAGACTATTTGAAGGCACAGATGGTCAAGAGCTAACTGAAAACATATGGCTGAAGAGTATAGTAATGGAATTATAAAGTAGAAAATTAGGAAGCAAGTGGAAATGTCTAAATTTAACTAGTGTTTGCTTAATGAACTATTAATGTGTCCCTAGGTAGCAATTAACTCTAAAATATGTCTGCTTATTTGCAATGGTCTACTACTTATTTTATGTTGACTGGTATGCATTATTCAATATGATGTGCTAGCATATATTACAATCTGCCTAGCCAAATGCTTCCTCATATCAAATAATCAGATTCTCAGCTGCTTTAAACTAATGTGGTCCTACTGAAGTCAATAGAGCTGTGCCAAATAGCACCAATGGAGAGCCTAGCCACAGACATTTAAGAATAACTTGACAATTTAAGTCGCTATGGCAATAATTCATAAAAAGAGTGATGGCAAGAGAGAAATCCTGTCACTTTCATCTTGAGCCTGCAAATTATTCAACATAGGTGGCTTGGGAGTGTATCTGAACAGATAATGCATAGTGGTGTAACTCCTGAGTTGTCTGCCTTCCCTAATTTGTAGCTTATTCACTCCCAGACTTGCTTCAGAGACTGAAGAAATAACTTCAGATCATGTATACCAGGAGTGGGCCACAAGTAGCACGTGCAGTAGTTGTGTTGCACATGAGCTCCAGACACTAAGTAAAGGTGTCACTGCCAAAAACCAGGTTAACTTTTCCTTGGCTCTGCAACCACTGCCAAATTCAGAACTTTGGATCCTGCCTCACTTGCCATATAAAACTGCAGCAGTTTTGGGACCAGTGAAGGATTAAATGATCATTGCCATTGGATAACTAGCAAACATGAAGAAAATCTGGACTAGCAGCAACATCACAACGAAAATGAAACTTCAACTACTATATAAGCTGTTGTCATTTCAACAACTCTCGATGGCTATGAGACCTGGACACTCGCTAGGGCACTGGAAAAGTGAATTGAGACCTCTGAAATGCGATACTTCAGAGGACTTGTATGCATACCCTACACTGCATGCTGAACAAATGAATCTGTGAAAGATCAAATCAGACAAGAAGTTGGCAAATGCGCTTAGTCAAAATCGTAAGATGCAGTGGTTTGAACATGTAACAAGAAGGCCCAGCATCCTTACCAATACCATCCTGCAGGGTGCTGCAGACAGACAAAGAAGAGGAAGACCTAGGACGAGCTGGACCACCAGCATCAGAGACTGGTCAAAACAACCCACACAAAAAACATAGACCAGTGCATGTGGGGCAGTGCACACTGCTCAAAACCGGAGCCTGGCCAGCCAAAGCCATGCTCCGGCAGCCAGCCAGGCTCTGAGTGGCAGGATTGCCACTGCTGCAACCCCAGGAGGGCCCCAGGACCCTAGGTAAGGCTGCCCCAGTGCTGGCCTCAGCTTCCCCTACCCCACCTGGGGTAACCTGCCACGCACCAGAGGGCACATGGCACAGGTTTTACTAGGGGACAATTAGCAGCAGCACAAAGTGTGCCACCACTAGTTGTCTCCAGGGAACCAAACATCTACACTTGTGTGGACACGGCCAGGGAGATGGCAGGGCTTAACTTGTGGCATGTTTGCCAGTAAGGTTGATCACCATTGATTTATACTAAGGGCCAGTCTACAAAATGGACTGTAGTGTATTGTAGAGTTACCCACAGTAGCTTTAAATCAATGACCATTGAAAGAAACTATTTACATTATGGAACAAGAAATAAGTTAAAAATATTTTGCTTTTTTTTTAGAACATGCTTAATCAGAGGCTAGTTATAAATATCCATAAAACATTTTGTTTTCTCATCAGCTGCTCACTTACCTTTATAAAACAAGTGTTCACCCCATTCTCTAGAACAAATATAACATAATTCCATTTTCCCAATATAACTATATGTCAGCTCAAAAGGAAATACTTTTTTATCTATAAACACTGGTCTGAACTTACAGGCTTTCTTACATATTAGTGCCACTTATGCCACAAGAGTAAGAGCAGTGAGCTTAGATCCCTTAAAGTTATTTTCCTAATATCACAAATACAATTTGTGAAGAACCATACAGGTATTTCTTACATGTTCCTTCTTAAATTTATTTTTCTGTCATTAAACAAAAGTCTATAAGTTAGTACATTGAGAGAGAGAATACCTGTATATCTATTACTCTTTAAGCTAGGTACAGTGTCTAATAATAAGGGATCCTAGTTTTCTGTTTAAGAATTGCAAATGCTCTAAAAAAAAACCCTAAAGTTCTCTAAGTAAAAACCCCAAATCCATGTTTTTCTAAGATTAAAATGAAACGCCTCTCTCTCTCTCTCTCTCTCTCTATATATATATATATATATATGTATGTATGTATGTATGTATGTATATATGTAACAGTTGAACACAGCGCTTTATTGATATATTTACAATTTAAAAGCAATTTGGAAGCCTGCCAGTGCCTCAATCATTAAAATAAAATGAATTCTAAATACCTATATATTTTCATGTTTGATTTTGGTTTTTTTATCCTAGAAAATTAGTGTTCCCCCTGCCCCTTTCACTCCCCAGGATGTGGGTCCAGGTGTGGCTGTCCCCACAGTTGCTTTGTTGCGCTAAGCAACACTGACATGCCGGTGCCCTACCCCTGCCAATGCCATTGTCCCTCACTCCCAATCCACAGCCCTGGTCTGCCCCTCACTTGCTTCCTCCCAGCAGTAGCTCCACCCTTGCACCAGGCTATGGGTCCAGCTGCAGCTGTCCCACCTGCTGCTCTGTGGCTCTGAACAGTGCCAGCCTCTGCTGTTTTGCTCCCTGCACCTGTGCCCAGGCCCCAGAGGTCCCCATGCCCTTCCTGGGAAGCCCTTGACTGGGGTTCAGACACTGGGCTGGGCCTGCCTATTGCTGGGAAAGACCCTTCCCTTCCAGGCCAGCCTGCTCCTGCACAGGCTGCTTTACGGGGGCCGGGGTGTGCCAGGCCTG